AAAAAAAAAAAAAAAGAACAGCCCTAAGCTGGGCACAGTGGCTCACACCTGTAATCCCAGCACTCTGGGAGGCTGAGGTGGGTGGATTGCCTGAGCTTACAAGTTCAAGACCAGCCAGAGTGAGACCCTCCGTCTCTAAAAATTGCAGGGCATTGTGGGGGGGGGAGCACCTGTAAGCCCAGCTACTTGGGATTGCTTGAGCCCAAGAGTTTGAGGTTACTGTGAGTTATGACACCACAGCATTCTACCAAGGGCAACAAAGTGAGGCTGTGTCTCAAAAAAAGAAAAGAAAAGCAGCACATGAGATGAACACTTACTGTGATGAAAGCAGGGCAGTGTTAGCACATAAAAATCAGGACCAGCCAGTCCCCGTGACCCAAACCAACAGGAGAAAGAGAGATTCTAATAGATGGGTATAGGGACAATGACAGCCATTCTGAATAAGTTGGATTCAACCATGCCGTGCACTCATGCATCCCAAATCCAGCAGAGAAGCACAAGTAAATGTTCCCCTTACTACAGCAAGGAAGTAGGTAAAAGCTTTCTCACTATTTAAGAATTAACCATCAGGGCAGCACCTCTGGCTCAGTGAGTAGGTGCTAGTCCCATATACTGAGGGTGGTGGGTTCGAACTCAGCCCCAGCCAAACTGCAACAAAAAAAATAGCCGGTGGCTCGGTGCCTGTGTCTCAAGTGGCTAAGGTGCCAGCCACATACACCTAAGCCAGCTGGTTCGAATCCACCCGGGCCCACCAAATAACAATGACAGCTGCAACCAAAAAATGGCTGGGCTTTGTGGTGGGTGCCTATAGTCCCAGCTACCTGGGAGACAGACGCAGGAGAATCACTTGAGCCCAGAAGTTGGAGGTTGCTGTGAGCTGTGACATCACAGCACTCTACCCGGGACAGCTTGAGGCTCTGTCTAAAAAAAAAAAAAAAAAAAACATTGCCAGCCTTCAGATGAAGCTTTATTTCCTTAACCAATTACAAATCAAAAAGTCTCTGAACCAACCTATAACCTGTAAGCCCCCACTTTGAGATGCCCTACCTTTTGGGACCAAACCACTGTACACCTTCCTTTTATTGATTTATGATTTTACCTAAAATCATATGAGTTTCCCTAAAATGTATAAAAACCACACTATAACCCACTCTGGTGGGTCCACTTGCTCAGGACTTCTTGGGTGTGGATCTTGGGGTCACATGTGATATTTGGCTCAGAATTAACCTCTACAAATTATTTTGCAGTGTTTGGGCATTTTTTTGTTAGCCATTATTATGAGGACTCAACTTCACAGGCTTGTCAGTTCTTCCTACTTTATAGTTTTAACATCATCCCAGTAAAAACCCTTATTTCTGGAACTATAACATTCAATGGGAAAGCATAAGCAAGCAACATCCAAGAAAACTTGCAAAGAAAGTGGAAAAAAGAACAGCCCTGGCTCAGTGCCTGTGGCTCAAGTGGCTAAGGCACCAGCCACATACACAT